TGAGAAGCAGAAAAGGCCTTGATGCTGTGTGCTCAGCAGAAACAAAAACATCCCTGTTATCAACACTGCTTCCAGCACAAATCCAAAGCATATCCTGTACTAGCTACTGTGAAGAAAATTAACTCTATCCCAGCTTGAGCCAGCACAGAGCTAAAATGTCACACGGAGTTCTAGAAAGCTGATGAGTAGTGCTCTGGTGATTCATTCTGCTAATAGGGAGGAGAGGAAAAAGAAAGAAGCAAGAGACTGTCTCGGCATAAAATGGGTCTTGCAAAATGCTCAGAGGCTTCTTGAACAGCATATATCAACTTACAAGCTAATATGACACCTACTGATTCTGCAGTTGAACCCTTCTCTTTGGGTTCATAAATTTTTTTTCAGCCTGAGTAACTGGCTGATTTTTTAGGGCAGCTTTACTTCTAATAGTTTATTTCAAACAAGATAGATGTGTTCAGTGGGTGCCTGACCTGATGGGGTGTATGAGCACCCTGAAATAGCTTATACCTGAAGTGCTGCCATGCCTTATCTTTGGCACTTGGTCACAAGGAAGGGTGCCCAGCAGCTGAGTGCAATACCATGAGATACCATGAGCACTCACATGGAGCAGTGCTCATGTGAAGCCTTTGGATCAGTCGAGCTGTGCAGCATGGGTTTGGGAGAGCATTGAGAATGATCCACTAGGGAAATGAGATTCACCTACCTGCCTATGTAAGATTCTTCACTCTTGAAATTCTCACTGCATATAGTCCTATTTATGTGAGCTTTTAATTCTATAACATACAATCACATTTAAACTGGAGATTTAAAAAAATAGAACAGGGATCTTTAATAAAGTATGTCTAACTTCAGTTTCAGAACGAAACACTTCTTTCATTTTATTATGCAGAATGCAAGTAATTTGCTATTATTCTTATACCCATCTAAATGTTTAGGAGAACATAAATTAACACAGCAGAGACAAATGTATAAATAGATTTTTATAAAATGAATTGACAAAAAATGATGTACATTGCTCAGATGAGCAGCCGGAGTCCTAATATTTTTCACCAAGCAAGCATGCTGTTCATTGGTTTGAACTAGGTAAATATGCAGCCATGCATTTTCTGTTCTTCAGGCATCTCACAGTCTGATTCTTGAGAAATAGAAAGATGTTTTAAAAACATCTTTAAAGCCCTAAAGATGTGTAAAAAACCCCCAAATATCAAAATAGTTATTTCTCTCTTGCTACTTGTTTCTGTTTTACATTGTGTTTACTGCCACTGTGCCAAGATTTCCAGATTCAAAATCACTTTTCTTGTGGTTCCATTGGCTGCAATTGTATATTTAAATGTACCCATCATAAAATCATTCTCTCTAGGACTGATGACCACTATATTATTCTCCTTTGACTCTGGGTAAATTCCTGACCCTGTTCTCTACTTAATATCTGATAGTGAGCAAAGGAACTTTTCAGGTACTTGTTCTCATGCATGGCCAGTTATTAGGAAGTTGTACAGTGAAAGGTATTTTGTTTCTTTTTTTTTTTTCTCCCAACCATCCAAGTTCTATTTAGTTAAGTTCTGTAGGACAGCAAAGCACTTATATTGTATATATATTGTAAACATAAGCCATTAATTTCTGACCGTGCTGTTGGGAGCAGTGGGAATGGAGAATGATAATGAAAATAATAATAATGAAAATAATAATAATGAAAATAATGATAATGATGATGATAATAATAATAATAATAATAATAATAATAATAATAATAATAATAATATTCCAGCTGTAACATTTAGGCTCCATTGTTTTTACAACAGTTTGCATATGACTTGGTTTCCACTCTGATGAAGTAAAAAGTCTTTTTAGACAAAAAAAATAGTGGATAGTCTCTTCTACTCTGGCAGAAATATTTTTTTTCTGCTTAAATAGTTAAAATATGTCATTTGCACCCATTTAATTTAAGTATGATATTTTAATACATATATAGTAATTTAATAAATATTTATTTCAGTACCTTAATGATATTTTGCAATTCGTTAGATTCTGAAAAGTGCTGTGTTGTTGTAATTCTTCTACATTCAGGTCAAAGGCATCATTTCCTAAACAAAAGTGTTAGGAGACTTATTTTGAAAACCCCCTTTACTAACTAATGTAAATAGTATGCATCATATGCTAATCTCCTGGTTGCTTTATTTATAGATTAAAAATTAGAATAGGAAAGAATTCTCTAACATGGCCCTTAAATGCGCATCTTTTTAAAAAGATGAAATAAAAAACACAACCTAAAATATTTTTAAGCAATCACAACCCTTTTTCCTTGACTGAAACCATATTTTACTCTTGTTTCTAATTTTATGCAGTCTAAATATCAGCAGGTCTGTAGAATTATATTATACATAGATTTGTACCCATGAGAGTGTGCATATCTACACACACGTTTCCACTTCCCAGATTTTGAGGGCTGACAAACACTGGGGTGCTTTCTATTAGCAATTGTTTTGGCTTTTGATAGAATTGCTTAGTACTGAATAATGACTCTGCAGCAGTCTGGACAAAGAAAAAAGCCTGAAACTTGCAGGTTTAAACACTGGGGTTGATGAAACAAGGTCTTTAGGAGGATTTCAGTTATCAAGGCTGGTGTGATTGACACCTGTCATCTTCTGACGAGTGCCACTGTCCCGTGATGTTCAGTGCTGTGTTTCACATCTCATCCTGCCTCAGCAGTGCAGAGCCCATAAGTGGTGCCAGGGCAGGGTGAGTGATGGCTCCAAGGGACCAGTGGCACCTGCCAGGCAGGCTGTGCTCTCTGTGCCACTGCCCTGCTGCCTGCTGGAGGTCTGCCATCTACATGCCTAAGCTTAGCTTCTGTGGGCAGGTGGCTATGTCTGCAAGGTATTTTTTATTAGATAAAGTAGAGCCCAAACCAGCTCTGCCCAGATTCCTCCTTATCCTGAATCAGATCCCCATACAGTGGGAGGAATCTCAGGATCTCAGCTCATTTACATTTTAAATCAAGGACTCAAAGGGGAGAGCTGGATCCAAGCTTTCAATGTTTCTAGCTTTCCACTTTAGGGAAACCTCATAACAAGTTAGCCAAGAGGATAAATGCACAGATCTCTCTTTGTTCTCATTCTCATCTTTGCTATTGCAAGGTTAATAACTATCTCTTTAGCAAGGTAGTTCCAGATGTTCTATTGGAACATTTTTACTCTTCAGCCAGCGTGGTACAACGGTACAGCTCCACTAAAGCAGGCACTTGGTTTCTGCAGCCACCTGTGGTGCCAAGCCAGCCCAGTGCTCTGAGGACTCCTCATAGCTCAGGAGCAGGGAGGTGGTTTATGTTTATGTGAGTGTTGAGGTAAGTGTGTACCCTAATCAGAGTCTGTAAGAGCCTATGCAGGCTTTATGACAGGCTCCATCATCTCTTCTCCTTGATATGTTCTGAGAGCAGTTGGAGTGCAGGGTACTGCTCAGCCCTGGTTCATTTTGTCCATCTTCCCTTTGAGGATGCCCATTGCCTGCCCTGAGGCAGGAGGTGCAGGGCACCTGTGAAAGTAGCCCAGGCTGTCCTGAGTGACTTTGGAAACGGAATGACAGCTGGATGAGGCGTCAGGTGCTGGAGCCTTACCTGCACTGGAGATAAAGACTGGTACCAACACCTTGGACAGACCCGGTGGTCTTGGGCATCACTGTCGAAGTCGCAGAATGGTCAAAATATCTCTTATTTTGTATTTAAACCACTTACACCTCAGTAATTTTTGGACTAAATTCATTGGACAGGAGAGTTGTAAAATGACATGGCAGTGGAATTGGGCTCGAATGTGGAGTATCTAGACCACAGGAGGAGCAACGCTGTGGAATTAATTTAATTTACTGACTTCAGTGACATTTTATACTGTATCCTTCTAATTAATCTATATGCAACACATTGTGAATTTTGAAGAGCTAGAAACTGAGTCTAAAACATCAAAATATATATAAAGAAAACACTTTTAAATGGTATTTTCTTCTGAAATATGTAGCCTCTGTGACTAATGGTTTTATTACATTTTTAGGCTTTGATGCTAGTAGGAAAAATGCTTAATTTTTAAAACACTATTGCTTTTACTACATTGATGATACAGGTGTACCACTGAGGTGCAGCCTGTATGTATTCATGTTTGATTCTGAATAGCATAAATGTATGTTGATGCAATCTAGTACTGTGCATAAGAGAAAATTACACAAATACTGCATTGTGTGTCAAAGGCCTTTCTTTTAGTGCATTAAGTATCTTTCCACTATTTCCAGGAGGTAATACTAGCTCCCAACAATGCTGGTATTTTCCAACACTTTATATCTAACAAAGGAAAGGATGTGGATCTTTTTCTGGATGTGAATCTGAATTTATTTTTCAGCTGTTGTAAATGCTCTTAACAGTGTGATTTTTCTTTATGCTGTGTGAAACTGAGCTCTGTATCTCAGCTGTCTGTATAACCATTGCAGCAGAGGTTGAAGGTGAAGTAATGATAATATGGTACTTGAAATAAAGTAATTTTGCTAACAGACCAGAATATACAGAAATAGTGTTTTAGCCTCTGCTGAGTTTACTCCATAGCTTGATGAAATAGTTTCTCTCTTGGGAGGGCAGTGCTTGTCTAATCTTTAGGCTGATCAGTAGGGAGAAGATTTCACTTTCTGTAGTTTAGAGTAGTGCTTTTGATGTCATCTCTGTGATCCAGGAACATGGTGTTAAATGGTTTTAAGACCTACATCCAGTAAGTCAGAAAGAGGATGGTGTAAAAACAAGTGAGTCAATTGCCTTGTACTGTAAGAAATACTGAAAATATTTCTTGTAATCTAACCATGACTTCTCATGACCTTGTTCTGACACCATGACTCAATGACACAATTTTATCCCCAGGAGAAGTGGATTATTAACTTCCTGTGGGCCGTGAAACTGGAGAAGAAATAAGGTTATTTGTGGTTGTTTATTTCATTCTCTTTCTGACACTTCTCTGCCTCCTGATTCTTCCTAGTGCCTGGAGCCCTGCAAAGAGTCCTGGGACCTGAAGAAAAACCATTGCCAAAGCTTCTGTGAGGTAGGTCAGCCCAAGGGCATGCTTTCTCACTTTGTTCCAGCAGTCGATTTAATTTAAATTACTAGCTTCGAGGAAACAGCTGAAAACCCTTTTTGTAGCATTTGCCTTCCTTTGAAAAGATACACATTTAACAATGTAGCTATATTAATTTTGAGTTTAAAAAGGGTTTCTTTCTGACTAAATGTTTTATCTTGACTTGTACTTTAGACTCAATCCAGTCACACTTACGTAGCATCTCAGAAGATGCTGTTACATCCCTCCTCTAAGATGCTATTTCTGCCACTTGCCCTTCTATATTTTCTGGCCATGTGTAAGAAAGACAGTCTTTGTTTAAAAGATAAAATGCTGCTGTGGGAAAAATCCGTGGGCAGGATAGCTAGAACAGGTGACTTTTCTGTATGTGAAAGTCTGCCTGATTTTAGTTCCCTAAGAGTTCAGAAGATTGAAGTTCAGAAGACTAATATCAAAATACGTAATTATTCAAGAAAAAATATTTTGAAAGTTATATTTGAACCATCCATCAGAATAATCTGTGAAGAAGCAAACCTGAATCAGTCAAACTAGAACAAAGAAGGAGATTTTTTAATGGACTTGCAACATGGCTCTGAGTTGGTGGAAGTGATCTGTTGCAGTTCTTAAGTGTTTTTAGTTCAAAATGGAAGTATCAGCTCAATAGAAAGTTGCCTTACTATAAAAAACGTTAAAATATAAGTCTATAAAAGTGAGTTCTGAGGAAGATTTTATTATTTTCCTATAAAAAACAGAAGTGACCTTACTTGATATACTGATCTTACTGGTACACAGATTTAACTCCTCTCTCTTTACTATGGAGACTGTTTTTCTGGTCCTATGTTTAAATTATTTTAAGCATCATGAGGATGACGAGGAACAGCTGCAATGTCAACTAAAAAATTTTAGATGCAACAGTGTGTTAATAGGGATAACTGAATTAGTGTTCTATGCAGTTACAGCCAAAGACAAAATAAAAGTTTCTCATGAAAACCAAGCCTTGTAACAGTTTTTAAACTCAGATTATTTGCTACTTTCTCATATACGAAATTCTAGAGTACTGGAAAAATACAGTTTTAGTGAATCTAATTTGTGTTGTTCTTGTATATCGCTCTTCACTCAGACTGTATGTTTCCAGAGATGAGTGAAAATATGTATAAAATTGGTTTAAAAGGAAAACATTTGTAGAACACTGTTCTATTGTAGTTAAAAACAGTGAGCATCCTTCTTTGATTAGTGTTTTGTGGTTAAAGCTAAATTTAGAACTTCAAAGGCCCATAATGAGGAGCAGCACATTTAGCAGCTAACTGAAAAATGAGCTGTGAAATAGGGTGAGGTGGAGAAGCCTTGAGGACGTATTATGCCTCAGGGAGCTATAACATTTTTAATTAAGTAGCTGCAAATTTGTGATGTTTTAGTGTTTGAAATTAGCTTCAAACACAAAAGCCCAGGACCACTTTCTCTCAGACTCATGTATACTTCATAGACGTTGATTGAGTTAAAGGAGGCTGTTTTCCTCTGAGCGTGTTTTCAATCTTTTTGCATTTTGTAAAAAATCTGGAAGCAACAATTTAGCTTTATGTTTCTCAACGTCCCTACTTCATGTGTTACTTCTTATCTACCAATTGAGTGTACTACTGAGTTAAAGGGAACCTTATGTGTGAAGGACAATTTATCTGATTCCTTGTTTTGTTTGTTTGTTTGTTTGTTTTCCTATAAATTTATTTTCCTGCTCGTTTAGCTTTTTAACATGGTATCAGGTGCATTTCATTCGGGGGAACAGCAGGAGTGCATGTCCAGGAATCACTGGGGTCAGTAGGAGACATAGAGACTGCTCATTTTTGCAGCATTTAGGCTGGTTAAATAAAGCCTGTAACACCCAAATGCTTGCCTGAAAGCTTGGTTCAAAATTCTGGGCTGTTCTGTAGGAAAAGATGGGAGTGGTAATGTAGGGATACATTCTTGGGCCACAGCAACTTTAGAGAATAAATAATCTGTGAAACACCCGGGCCTCTGTAATAGCTGAGTCTTCCTCATTTTGCCTGAAATATGAGAAGAGTGAAAACAAGAAAGTAAAACATTTGAATATGGAAGAAGTTTCAGAAGTTACATGGCTAGTTGGATAGAGAGTGGTTGTAACTCGTGTAGGCTTAGGAACCTGTAAATCAGATCTCTCATTGTGAAAGGTTTTTGGTTGCTCTGGTACAGAAAGGCCAGCTACAGACAATGCCAGTTACATGCTACAGTCATTTCCATGTCACACACAGTATTCTCCCAGGGTTGTAGAAGCTATTTTACATGGACCTTGCAAACCTCTGAGTATTACATATGCTGTGAAATGTCTGTGCGTTGAAGCATCTTCTTAAATATTTAGGACTAGGTTTCTCATTCACTTTGATCTGTAATCAATATATTTAAAGCTTATTCTAAGTTATATTTTCTGCTGACCATTTTATCATAAATCCAGTTCCATGAAGAATTACACAATTACGAATATGCTGGCAAGAACATAAAGATGCTGCAAAATCTTCTCTTAGCCAACTTAGTTCAAACAGTATAATGAAACAAGATTTCCCTTATTTATCTAGAGTGGCATTACATCAGATATTGTGGGGAAAGTGTTGTAAAGTACAGAGGAAAGAATGTGGGATAGTCCAACAAAAGCAGACTGTCTGACCATTACTTCCCTTTTGTTTTGGGAATGTTTTTAATCTGTCATTGAGCAACTTTATAGCCAGTCAGTGTGAGAAAAACAAGGGAAAGCTGGCAGATATAAACAACATTGTTCCTTAAATATGGCAGTCTTACTTGAGGGAATTCATCATTCTGTACTTGGAATGCTTTTTTTGAAGTGGCATGAATATATAAATATTCGGGAATAGTCTTGCAAAAGTTGCAAATCTGAATAATCCTTTAGGAGGTCTTGGAAAATTTATAACATTTTTTCTTTGATGGGGTTTGGTTGGGTTTTTGGGGTGTTTTTTTATTTTTATTTTTTTTTTTTTTTGGTTGTTCCTGTTGAAAACATACACTTCTTCTGTTTTCCTTTTAGCCTCTTTTCCCCAAGAAGAATTATGAATGCCTAACTAGCTGTGAATTCCTTAAGTATATCCTGTCTGTGAAGCAAGGGGACTGCCCAGCACCTGAGAAGGCCAGTGGTTTTGCAGCTGCCTGCGTTGAAAGCTGTGAAACTGATATTGAATGTTCTGGAGTGAAGAAATGCTGTTCCAATGGATGTGGTCACACGTGCCAAATTCCAAAAAATCTGTACAAAGGTAGAGATTATTAATATTACTCATACTGGGCTGATAACTTCAGGCCATACTGAAGTCTGCTAAACTATTTGCTGGGAGTTTGTACGGATGGGAAGAAAAAGGAGAGGTACCTGTAGAGATGTGGCTGCACAGTGAAAGGGTAGAAAACCAGAGAGAAATGTTGCTTAAATTTCCAATTTTTTTTCCCCCTTGTGAAACCCATGTCTGGAAATCTGTGGAATGTAAACGTGTGGCTATTATGAGTCATCTTAAGCAGAACAAACTTTGTCAATTTGGGTGAGATCTCACTTAATTTGATGCGGATGAGAGAGAATGCAGCAGGAAAATATTTAACAATAAACATTTCAGGTCCTATTAATGAGAAATAACATTTATGTCTACAAGCCAAGCAGATGGGACTACCAAGTAGGAGCTGTGAAATAATCTAGTAAAAGAACAAATCAACACAGAACAGCATAGTGAAAGATCATAATATCCACATATAGATATATATTAATTCGTTATTTAAATCTAAGGCAATCTTACTAAAAAAAAATTAATTTATTTGAGTCCTGAGATTTTTTGAATAAACGTTTCCTTTGACATCCTTCGAACAGAACATAGAAGCTAAGAAATTTTTTACTTAGACAAATTCCAGATTTTAATTTACTGGAATTTTAAAAAGCTTTGTACATGGAAATATTTGAAAAATAAGCATTTGTGAAAAGAATATTCTTTTTCCACAGGGTTGGTGTTTTTGTACAAGAATGAATTCTTCTTATGTCAGTGATAAAAAATAAATATTATTCAGTTATTAATCACATGGCATGGGCTCTCTGCAGAAGCTTAATCAGCAGAAGTCTGATCTAAGCTCCAGGCTTAGGTCTGAATCCGTGCTTATTTCCATCTGTGGATGGAAGCATGATAAATTAGGAAAAGAAGATGGTGAATTTGTTTTTAAGTTCATTATTTTAACTAAAATGTGAATAAATCTTTTTCAATGTGTGCAGAAGGGAGGCTCTTGTTTGCAAGATACAGCAGCCCCTTTGTTTGCAAGAGCAGCCCCTTTAAAACTATAAGGAATTAGTACACGCCAGTACATAGCACCTTTCAAAATGAAAGTTATTAAAATGGATCACTTATTTATTTGTTTTGTCTTATTGAGACAAATGACCAGAGTTGTCAAAAAGGCATTCATGTTATGTATATAGTGATTTACATGACCAAGCTCCATGCCACAACTGCAAAGCATTCCAGTAAATATAATAACTGGAAAAGGTAAGAACAAACAAACAAATAAAACAAGATTAAGTGCTGCTGGAGCTGACACAGCATATGACAGGATGTGATACATTCTGTAACCACACACTGGAAGGTCTCCTCTGTTTGGCCTGATTAAATGGGAGCAGAACTAACCTTCCCTAACATCTTATCACTGATCTGCAGGAGGTGCTGGCTTGTAAGAGCATATATGTCTTGCAGAGGAAGGGCAAGCTCAATACCCTACTGCCTTCTCAGCTGATGAATTCAGCTAATTAGCCTCTTCAACCTGTCTTTCTGCAACAAAAGACAAATAGAAGTGGAGCAGGCTTGCTATTCATTTCCTCCAGGGGTAAATGACCTTCCTGTCACTAAGGAAGAGCAAACTCTGCAAGCATGACTAAGATCTAGTGAATAAGTTCAGTACTTATTCTTATCCTTTTGACAGCACTCACAGCTTGAAAATGAACTCAGATTGAATCTAAGAGTCTACAGCAGTTTCTATAGTTTCACTGTTGATCAGGTGCTGGAGATTAGTTACAACAGTAGACATAAAATTCCCATCTGATTTTCTGGATTAACAGACTGAATTTGCCCTCTAGTACTGAATGCTAAAATACAATCCTAAAAAGAATAGTAAGGTAAGTACACTGCCACCTAAGATATGTATTGTATTGCAGATGTTTTTGAATTAGTCACAAGTGTTTTTTCATCTCTGTTGGGAGTATTACTAATTGGTTATGTAGTCTTCACATATTTATGTCCTTTAGTAGAGATATCAAATGTTCTCCTACTCTTCTATCATTGGCCTCATCCCCCTTCTTTACACTGTCTCAACTAGTGAAGGACTTCAAAAGGTGTCTCTGCAGATCTGTGTAAAAAAAAGGTAAATTGTGAAGGGAAGATCAGGATATTCAAAGGGTCTGATGGTGTGGCAAGATTATAGTAGGGTAACTGGGGTCAGATGGTCACCCACAGTTTAATGACTCTTTTTATGCTTAAAGAAAAGTAGTTTTGCACTACAAACATAGTGTACAGTTTTAAAAGTGTCCATTTCTGAGTCCTTGCAGAACTGTGTGTGCAATTGTATTGCAAGTGCTATGGATGTATCCTTTACAAAGCCCTTTATAGAAACATTTTGAATTCTGGGGGAACCAATGTTTAAGATACAGGTTTTCATGACAGACCGATGTGCACTTTCTTTTCATGGCACAGAGATGCATGTGCTGTTTGAAAGATACCTTTAGAAACATTTTTCCTGGACTCTGCTGTTGCACACATACAGTGATCAGTGATTTGAATTCTTTGGTTAAGCACTGCAGGCTTTGGACTAATGCAGACACTGTAGCACTGCAGACTGAGGACTAATTTGTTCCAGCACGAAATAAAGGGGCTGACCATTTACATAATAAAAGGCACATTGAAGAGTAATTGGATCTTCACATCTGGATATTAAAGTGATGTTGCTGGTTCTACAAAAGTGTTTTAAAGTGCACTTGTGCTGTGCTCTCATTGTTTGCGCGGCTGCGCTCCATCTGCCCGCGATTACGTAACACCAGAGAGGCTGAGATTCTTGCAATCAAGTGAATCCAACTGCCCCTAATGCAAAGCAGATGGAAGTTTTCTTAACATGCAGATTGTAGGATTATTGTGTATCATGACTAAAGAAGTCATTTGCAAATGGGGAAATCCAAAGTCATGTCTGTTATGTTAGACTAAGACTTTAGGCTACTGAGGGATATCCTGGGTCTAAACTGCTGTGATATTCAAATTTAGGTACTGCATTTTTTTTCAGGTGGATTTTAGGTTTCTTGAAGATCTACAATATCATTTTCATTTACTTGTAGCTACTTGTATACTCAGATTTTTAAGAACACCGCTTAAAATACAAAAGTGGTTTGTTGACCTGAGGGAATTTTGGTGCTAAGTCATCTGTGGCAGACTGAGAAGGAAACAATTTCTCTAACCAATACATTCACCTGGCCTTTTGTGGACAGTCGTTGAAACAACAAAATAACTAAAGTGTGTACAATAACTTGCTAAGAAGGTTTATATGTCAGCATAGAGACCTTATTTGTGACATATCCTCAAGTGACAAAATGCTGCACACTCAAATATAAATGTTCCTAATGTCTGTCTAGAGAAATGTATCTAACACTTGATTTGTTGATTTAATCAAAAAATGCCAAATTTGAAGAGTTGTTTTTTCCTTCAAGCTACTGCAAATGTTTTCAAAAAGGTAATATTACTGGCAGTATAAGAACAGAAACAACTGTCCTTAGATGTCACTGTGTAATGAGAAATTACAGTAATATTTTAGAAATATATATTTTTCTCTGTAATGCAACAATTTGACAATATACATTAGATATATCTATTCCAAGATGTCTTGAAATTACCTTTCCTAGCTCTTTAGGGAAGAGTGGAGAGTGACACATGATGCAGTACAGCTGCAGAATGTGAGTCAATAAGATCATGCAGCCACGGAGAAGCAAACAGCTTTCTTAAGTACATCAGACTAATGTAAGATGTATGAAATAATCACACTTCACTGCTCTGCACTGCTGAGAGCTTAGACACAGCCTGTGTCCAGTTTTAGGTTTGACTCTGGAGAAGGGCTGTTGGGCAACTGGAGAGTCTCCAGAGGCAACTGCAAGAGTGAACAGAGATCTGGGAATACTGATTTAAAGGGAAATGGAGTGCACTGTGGTTATTAGACTGAAGAAGAAAACATTCAGAAGCATGATAACAGTCTTGTGGTACATGAAAAGCTTCTCCACAGATAAAAGAAAGAATCTGTTCCCCATGATGCACAAACATCTTGGACCAGTATCGAGTATATGGTGTAGCTGAGGAGACTAAACAAGGCAGTGAGAAAGATTTCTTGTAGAAAGGATAGAGAAGTAGTGAAACAGACTACTATGTGGTGCTATGGAAATTTTGTTGTTAGATGTGTTTAAGGATAAATTGGGTGAAAAACTGAACAACAGGTATAGCTGATTCTGCTTGCAATTAAAGATATCTTTCTTCCAGTTGTTTTAAGCAGATGTTTTCTGCAAAGTCAGTTTTAGATTGCAGCTTTCACATCTTTCAGTTTTTTAATGAAATAAAGAAATAATTTTGAAGATTTTTTTTAGAAACAAATTTTAATGTTAGCAGAGATGGGTTAGCTAGGAACACTTCTAAAACTTCCAAGCTTATAATTTTCTGCCTTTTTGGCCTTTTCACTGACAAACAATCCTTTTTTAAAAAATTATTTTTTGAACAGCTTCATCTACAGATGGCTTAATCATATCTTGTAAAATTACATATATATTTTTATCTGTGTGTTCCTACTACAGGTGTTCCACTGAAACCTCGGAAAGAATTAAAATTCATAGAACATCAGTCTGGAGACCTGGAGGTGAAGTGGTCTTCAAAATTCAATATTTCCATTGAGCCTGTGATCTATGTTGTTCAGAGGAGGTGGAATCAAGGAATCCATCCAAGTGAGGATGATGCTACAAACTGGCAAACTGTGGCACAGGTCAGTTCTTTGTAAGCAATATGGATCCAGTTTCAGAATGTCACAAATCTCTTGAAAAATGTGGAATTAGAGACCAAAATCCATTCAAAGAGGCACACTAGAGACTTCTGAGTTTAGTGAGACTCATTGCACAGTGTCCACGGCATGGCTTGAGTCTTGTCAAAAGTTAAAAAATCCAGCTGGTGAAAAGGCCATTTATCTTTAAAAAAAAATAAAAAATTAAAGCCTTTATTCTTTGTGAAGTTGTTTTTTTCAGGTGTGACCCTCCCAATTCAGAAAAGTCTATGATGTCATGCTCTTCTCACTCAGTGCAATCCAGACTGAAAATGTAAGATTCATGAGCAAATGTTTCTTAATGAGAAGCAGCCAACAGAGCATAAATTTTCACTTAGTTCCTTCCCAGTTTCAATCTGTTTTTTACCATGCTGACAGTCCACCTGGATGGCAGAGCTCCAATCATTTATCTTACTGCTTCACCCTCATCCCTGCTGACAAGAAAAGTAAAATGCTGATTTTGAAAAGATCTGCAAAATATCATTATAGCTAAGAAAAAAAAAAGGAAAGAGAGAATAAGTAGAACCATCCGCAAAATAGAGTAAGGGATTTAAATTCTATGACAATTTGTGTTCATTCTCAATTCAGATTGTGTAGGAAAATGCTATCTTGCAATAACATCAAGCTTGTGAGACTGAACACTCAGGAGTGAATATCTTCACTTCAGTGTGGTGCTAGAGAGAGCTGTCACTGTGTTGTAGTCTTGCTCAGAAAAAGCCCCCTGCAGCAGACCCTGGCAGGAAACCTTGCTTGTGCAAGCCCAAGGGAGCACATCCAAAACTGATCAAGTCACAGTGACCTATGTCTCTCAGCTGAGGTGCAGGTCTTGAACCTGCATTCTCCATTCCAGGAAACAACCTCCTGTCTTAGCTGCAAGGAAAATACCAAGTAGCAAAAATGTGCCAGATCTGAATTATTCCTCACTGTTACTGAGCCATGTGTATGTGCTAGACTGTAGAAGCTCAGCTGTTGTGGCTGCAAAGGGAGCACAGTGCTGTGCTATTCTCACCCCAGGAACAGACCTCATGCACATTTCTGGAAACATGCACTAGTAGCTCCACAGTAGCTGAACATATATGAACCCCTGCCTGGCAGTGGAGCTGCAGGAGAGTGTTTCAGAGCCATGTTCCTGTGCAAGAGCAGTAAGAACCTGACAGTTGCCTTTTTTTTTTTTTCTTTGGGGGGGTCTGGTGAATGTGGGCAGAAGAGGCTGAGTTAATCACTGTGGCAGGAGAAGCCTCCTCCGACTGACATCTTTCTGACAACTTCACTGTCCCTTCTGCATCACAGGAGACAGGAACTTGATTGTGTGATGGACCCCACTGGGAATGTCAGTTCAAAGCATGCTTCAGGATGCCTGACTGGCTTTGTGAACTGTGTATACCTTATGGGACATGCAGGTTGGGTACCTTTGAGGGGTGATAGTAATCAGAATTTTTGTCTTTATGGACTAGTGTACCTCCATGGTGTTTGTAGTTTTAGACGTCCCACCAGGCAATCAAATCTGTTTGGCCAAATAAGATAGAATTTATTTTGCAATATCAGCAACAAGGATGGATATCCAGTTTGACTAAAGTGATTGTGTGCACAGCCTCCAGGCTTTTCTTGTCTGTAAAGCCGAGATTTTTTTCTTGTATGATTCCAAAACATTGAGGTATGAGCTCTTAATTATAGGCAAAGGCTGAGAAGAGCTCAGCCATTGAGCTGAGAATTCCTGGAGCATCTCAGTCCAGGGGAGATGATTCTGGTTCTTGCTTTACTCTGCAACTTAAGGTAGAGACTGTGTGAAGAGCAATCAAAGATCAAATTTCTCTTTGCTTATCTCCATATGTAGCATAATTATGCTACATATTAGTTATAAGTTATTGTTATTGTTTTACAAGAAATTTCATAATATTTCATCAGAGTTACTAATCTAATACTTTATTTTTGTTGTCTGTCCAAGAAAAAAAATGGAGTTATAATTTTCAGTAACTTTAAGTTGTTTAAATTTAAAAAAAGACCTTGCTGTTTTCTATTGCCCTTAGAGGAGCTAATTTGCAAGTAATTTCTCAAGTTTCCCACAAATTTTTACTTTGTACCTTTACTTTGAAACAATAATTTTGAAAAAGTTTGTTTATTGTATTGTGCCATGTTTGTTGTATCATCTTTATGTTTTCTTTTTAACGAGGAAGGCTCAATCTATTAGCATATTATTTTGCTCTCCAGTAATATAAGGAAAGCAAACACATTGAAAACAATTTTAGTTATTTTTCACTTCCAGAGAAAGGGATTTTTAATGTTTTTTTACTGCGTATTTTGGGGAAAACTTGATATAATTAACCATTTGACTAATTTCCATTGGTTAATGTACAGACTATGGTAACTAAGATGCTAGTTGGCCAAGTTGGCTATGATGTAGAGTGTCTAAGTGTTATGTGAAAATTTGTGAAAATTCCTACAGTACTGGAACTTAAGATTTAGCCAGCTGAGCAGGAACTGCTGCATTATGCTATGGAAATACTGCATGTCTTTTGAACAATCTTCCCATTCCATTTGGTACTAATTCTTTCTAAAAATAGTAGTATTACTGTTTATGTTGGAAATTCAGATATTTAGTCATGTTACTATAATATAATAAAGTTAATTAAAATATGCCAGATCAGTTATTTTCAGACAGAACACATCTGTATTGTGTGAATGGATGTAATCTGTGTATACACACACAAATACACACACACATATATATACATATGGGCAGACAGTAATGAGGTGCATTTATTAGTCTAGTCCATTACTAAAACAAATAAAGGACAGTATTTCCTGGTAGCTTGGTTGTGGCAGACATTAGTGCTTCACCTTGCAATTGTCTAAACTCTGTGGACAGCTAATCTGTTTCAAAAAGAAAGCTTCTGAAACAAAGTTCTGGTTCTGAGGCTCACAAGAAAGTTCTCAGCCTGTGACAGTGAGAAATGCCTGCTGGAGATAACCACCAGTCCTGTACACTAAAGCTTCCTTTCTCCATCTCCCAGGAGGGGCTTGCTTTAGTAAGCAGCCTTAGAGAGTGCCCACCTTGTCTGGGATTGCATTCACATGAAATAGGGCAGGTCTGCTGTCCTTTGATAGGGTAGTGGATACAACACTCAGAATTTCTTTTGTATTAGAGTACTCAGCTTTTCTGATACCCTGGATGGTATCTCTTCACTCTCTGAAATGCAAATTCTTTTATCACTGTGTTGTGTCCAAAGGTGTAGAGCTGTGAACTCTGCAGAGTAAGGCTGTACTCTCCTATTTCTATTAAACCTTTGTGCTGCAGAGAGGAGTCCAGGATTCATAGTGGGGAAAAATCGGGAATGAGCACAGTGAAACAGTCCATTGATTACTCTAATCCTTGGATAGAGGAGAGTCCTCTGTACAAGTCTTTGCTGTGAAGACTTTTTTGCACCAGTTTTTAACATATATACACTTTTTGGGGTGTTGACACAAGAATCCCACCTGAATGGTCAAATTGCTGTGCTGCTGGATCATATATTCTCTTTCTTCTCCCTCCCAGTTGTAGTAAATCCCACCTTTCCCTTACAATAAATTCTGACTTTCAGCCTTTCTTTCTCCAAGGGACAGTTTTGCATGTAAATATACAACATGTTACAGTTCTAAATAGCATGCAATATCCGAGGTGCTAGGGAATATCTTCCCCTCCCCTCTCATGCAAAGGATGGAATTGAAGATAGGCCACCCATGCTCTGGGATGCTCTTTATCATTAGTCAGTTGTAAGAGCAGCAGAGGGAGATTACTGTAGGGATGTTGAAGACAATCATAGATAATCTCCTTTTGAAGGACAGGGCATGTGGACTACTTACAAGAAAGAGATCAGGATTTGAACAGTTAAGAGCTGCTGGACGAGGAGTAGAATTGTCAGTGCTTCCTAAATGGAGCAGCTCTGGGCAAGTCTCAGCCAAATTCTCACACAAAAGCCCAATCTCTTTCTGCTTCTTGGCCACTGGAAGTGTCCTGTTGTCCCTTGGACCTAAAATGAACTCTTGAGAAGGAATGTCAAGCTATTATGTGTATTGCCCAATTTATGTTATTAAGATTACATGCTACTCTTATATGAAGTTCTATCCTAATGTAATTAATAGGGATTTTGCCTTATCTTCACTGAACTTTGCATGATACTGAAGGTGGACATGTTGGCCAGTTACTTTGTCTGAGGACTAATTCATTATTTTATTACAAATAAAATGCCTATTAGGATTTGAAGCTGCCTTCCAAACATTAATCTTATAAGTAAACAGGTGATGCGTAGCCAAATAAACAGTAATTATGATTCTGTAATGATTTGAGTGGTGATCTTTTGTTTTTGTCTTTTATTTATGATTCTTAAAAATTCTATAAAATTCTTGTTTTTTTCTTTCATATTTAGACAGAATTTTAGGTGTGTGATGAAATTTAACCATTAGTTATTTAGTACCACTCAGCATAGCTTTTAGTGGGTTTAAATTAATGTGAAAGATATTGAAAGGACTCTGAATATTGTGATCGCAGCTCAAAACATACTTAAGTAGTTGAGAACTAACTAAACTAAAGCAATTAAAGATAAAAAATAGATATGGCATTTAGGCAGTGTAAGATATCTCAGTAGTACTTTCTTCTTTCTAGAAATTTATCAATTCTGTGTAGAGGATACTTAGAGGTGCTGAAGTAGTTTATATCTTAGTAGTTGGAGGTAGATCTTCTGCATGCCATTAAAAAGCAGGAGCTTGGCCAACAAAATTAATGATGAAAGTAATAGGCCTGTTCATAAACTAAAATAATTTTGTCATTATGGATTGACAGTTTGTTTGATTTTACATTTTTCGTGGTTGCCATGGGAAATTGACACAACTGAAATACTTTCTTTTAAGCAACTGAATAGCTGAGCTGATGCCAGTGACAAAAAAGATTCCTTTGAGGAATTTGGGATCAAGTCTATTCAATTTGCCTTGTAACAAAGTTCAGCAAACATGTTTTTTAAAGCCCACAAGACTGTAACTAGTTATTTCCAATTAAGTATTGGTCCCAAACCTGTTTTCAGTTGCAATAGTAGGGTACCTGGCTGTTGAAAAAAAAATAAGACCTTTGCTCCATAAAATAAAAATAATTGCAAAAGTTGATTCAGGTAGACTCTTTCTTCCCTGGGACAAACCTTGGATAGATAATTCACTGTACAGGTAACATAAAAGTTAAAAAAGGAAAGGAGGTGAGGCAGGCAGTGTCAAGACTGTTACCCCTGCTTAAGTTGAGAAGACAAATACAGTGGTCTGAATGGAGTGGGACTCTGAGTAGCAGCAATATGTGATGGGCTCAGTCTACAACATTTATCAATCTGAGAGTGGTCAATAATATGGTTTAGAAAGGGTCTCTTTTCCTTACATGCACACACAAATGAGATATCTGTTTCCCTAAATTTTCTTTGTCACTAAATTAAGAGACTAAGTGCAGGATAACACCTACAAATTATATTTGTCAGGGTTCTGAAAAGGCCATTGGAGAGCTGAAGCAAATTCCTCCATTTCTGATTATCTGAGTTATGTCAGCAGCTGCTGGTTTCTTGCACAGTTTTGAAAGGGAGCAAAAAGCAGAAATTATGTTGTCCCTTTTTTTAGGAGCTATTTGGTATCATTGCAAGCAATGTTGAATCCTGTACAGGTAAGATGGCTTCTTGAAGTTGTATAAAACAGAGGTTGTAAAAATAAATTGATGTAACTACATTTTTGATGGGCTTGCATGTTTGGTCAGTAATGGTAATCAGTAATGATTGTATAATATATTTAGACATATACATGACATGTGTTTCAGGGTCCTGTGTTATTTTGATTAAGGAATTAAATGAAAATGTAGTAAACATGACATACTAAAGTAAATTGAAAACTGGGTAATTGAGAGGTAATTGTAAAAATAAAATTTCCAAGTGGATGTGTTTTTGATGAGATGCTACATCTGTAGTTGGAACTGATTCAGTGGTTACCAGGAGGCTGTGTTCAGTTCTGATGTTTGTACCTTAGGGAAAAAAAAGAAAGAATGCAAAAGATAGCTCTTCAAAAGTTTAATGAGGTAAAAAATGGAAGAAAACAGGGCTCAAAATAAGAATGTGTAAAGCACTTCCTACTGAAAGGGTTCAGAATGTATCTATGCTTATGCCATATTTCAGTGGTTCTCCCCACAGGATTTGGAAATTGAACTCATGACATTGGCAATCTCAGTAGGTGTTGTTGGAGAAAAGGTCAGCTCCTATGACCTGAGAAAAGTCTTCAGGGAAGAGTTAAGGCTGTCTTTTTGACATAAGTGCCAAAGATGTGAAGAAGGCTTACATTCATTATCGGAGAGTTTTGTGTTTCCTGTGAACTAGAAAAAGTAGGTTTTCACAGCACTGGATTTCATTAAGCTATTTTGAACCTTTAATTCTCTGAGAATTGAGAATTGAAGAAATCAGTCCTATCACCTGGAGCAATGTGTTCCCTGAAACATCAACACTTGAACAGTGAGACCCTAAACACTGGGGAAGGTTGTGATAACTGCAAAACTAATTTTGTGAATTTAACAACACTTCACTCATTTTCTAAAGGATACTTTTTCCCAAAGAGACCTGCAATGCACTATAAAATTGGTAAAATTTTGTTCACAACTGTAAATGCTTTGCGATGCAGAGTGATGGCGGAATCAGGTGAGGTGGTTGCATAAAGCCTGCAGTGCTGTTCTGTACTCAGCCAGACTGGCTGGTGTAGCACAGCAGATGACAGATGACCACGTAGGAGCAGCCAGTGTAAGTGTGACCTTTTTTTTCCCCTCCAGACCACGGAGGAGCGCGTTCGGCTGCCGGACACCCGCGCGAGCCGGTGGTACCAGTTCCGCGTGGCTGCGGTGAACGTGCACGGGACGAGGGGCTTCACAGCACCCAGCAAGCACTTCCGCTCCTCCAGAGGTGAGTTTGCCCTCCTCTTGTCTGCTGCTCACCTTCCTCTCGCTCACACCTGGAGTGCAGCCTGATCTGCCTGCTTTCGTGGCAGCAGGTTTTTAACAGGTGGGGTTTTGAGTGGTTTTGCTCCTGACTTTAGAAGTGGTGTAAGACTTGTTTGAAGTCAGCAAACAAATTAAAAGTTAAAGTGTCATTATTCTTTTATCAGTAAGGGTCTCTATGAATAAAACTCCTTTGGAACATTTTCCACATTATTGGTATCAAACTACATGACCCTGACCATGAAATATAGAAGAACCTGATTTTCAGTGTGTTAATCCAAGAGGTTTATCTTTTTTTCTTTTTAGTTATGAGAAATATGTTATTGTCATATGTTTAGTTGGAATATTTTGTTGCCTGTATCGAAATAATTATAGCAGCATTTTTTTGATGGAACATTGGACCCTCTTAATATAACTTTTCCCTTGCTTGCACTAATTGTAAGTGCTTAAGAATAAAAAAAGAGTATAAATGCAAAGCAGCGTGTTTCTGTTCATTAGAAAGGCATGCCTGATGATCCACAAAGTTTTCTTGATAGTTCTGGTTTTGCAGCCGTTTGGGTAATAAAATAACTTAGAAAATTATTTCTTTACCAGTAAATGGTACGTGGGGGATGGAGGAGAGAGAAACGGTTCTCCCATCCTGTGAAGTTCCTAGCATTCCCCCTTCTGTGCTTTTGACCAACATAAGGAAGAATTTTCCCAGATGGCTCTTAGGCATAGTATAGGGGTTAGAAACTATTTCCATTAGACATGATCTGGATGTGGTCACCCTCTCTTAAATTTGACACTTAAAATTTTATTTTATTGCAAGCATATCCAGACCACGCTAGTCTCCTTTAGTGCCAAAAAAAGAGATCGAGCAGTCTTCCCTCTATTAACAGAAGCAGCTTCTAATAGAAGGACTTGTTATTGTAGTTGTGACAGAATCTTTACACTGATGTAACTTTGCATACTTTGAGGAATGTATTTCCTTTTTCTGCAGACAGAATTATCTTGCAGTACAAGCAGTTGCCATCTTTGGGTTCCTGTGCTGTTAGCTTACTGTTTGGCCATAGTCAGTCCTAGAAAAGAATCTTTTTGGAGGTGCATTTATAGAGACATGCAAATACTTTTGCTGGTATGGAATGTTTAATCACTTACTGAATAACTATATGTTAGCCTTAATAATTTTTTGGTGCTTTAGCCATATTTGTTGTAGGAAGGTTAGCACAGCCGTCCTGTTACTTCTGTGACCACAAACCTTTTCAGGTATAGAAGAAGTATTATTTTAACAACTTATGATACTTATGTAGCATGCCATTTCAGAAACATAAAATAATACAGTTCCTTCAAGCTGTGTTGAGTTTACTGTAAGAACTCTTCAGCAGCACTACCTTTCTCTTTACTTCTTCTTCTACGGCAGTTTGTTGCTGAATCTGGCAACAATTTTGTTTTAAATAGATATTATTGACAGTTGTTTTACTGAGTTTGTAAGTATTTTCCAACTATTCTGCATGAAACCACTATTACTGCAGTTACAGAAAGGTATATCATGGTAGCACTAAGGTTTTGGCTTGAACATGACATTTTCAGGCAGGATTTGTATTACTTTCAAAAAAATTGGCCCCCTACTGAGTGTGTTAGCCATGCTCAAAATACCATCCTTGGTAATGAATATAGGAATGTCCATTCTAGCCCAGAATCTGACCTCAAGCAAAGGTGGGTTTCTGGATAACAGTGTAAGAGCAGGATAAACACATAGGGGTATTTCTTCAGAATAGTCTCCCAGCTGGCAGTAATTCGTGTTTCAGGAACTTGTGGTTTTGAAATCATTGCATGAATACCAGAGTCCTCCTGTGGTCTCTCTAGCTACCCCTCAAGCACTTGCTCTCCTTGAGAACTGCTCACACTGTCTAGTGGAGGTGGAGAGCACTTTTAGGACTTTGTGACGAGGGCAGTGGGAGTCAGTAGTACCTCTGCATGCTCTTACCTAATAAACGAAAATTTTGATGATGGCAGCAAGCAAGTAGTCAGCATTCTTCAAAAGGCTTCTGTTATGCTAAAAATAACTGTTTTCAGATCTGAACTCCAGCCCTTGGCAGAGGATTGTGAATTGACAGACAAGCAGCAGGGAGTTCAGTTAGCTATCAGATTCACAGCCCAAATCAGCCTACGCTGGCAGCTCATTTGGCCATTCTAGGGGCTGTGGAACTGTCAGGGTTTGTTATAAAGATGTCAGGTTTGCCAGATGAAATGTGTAGACACTCTAGGTGACTCACATGAAGATGCTGCTAGATGCTGACTGCTGGGAACGATGCTGGGATGCTTCTTTTGGTACCTTTGAGCCACCATGTCCCCAGGTAGGCAGGCAGAGGGTAACAGTTATAGTGTCACTCTAGCATTTAATTACTACTTTGGAGCTCCGTGGGAAATGACAGCCCCTGCCTGGTAGAGAGGCAAGAAACTGCTGCTCAGATGTGCCTGGTTTTTTGAGTGCCAGCATCTACTGGCCCCTGCTGAGCTCCTACAGGCACATTTAACCTCCAGTTTGGAAAAGAAAAGTGGATTTTGGCATATCACCTTTGGAAGTTTGCTGCCTGTCTGTGCTATGTTTGTGTGAAGCGTGGACAGAAATTCACATCAGTGTTTCACTTCACCCTGTTGTGCCAAGACCAAGAGAAGATTATTATCTTGGTCAGACTTAGCAGAAGGTTTCTTCAAAAATAAACCCTTTGATCAGGAAGCATGACAGTAATTCTTAAGACACTTTCTCACGCAAGATACTGAACTTCTACCAATTGCTCATAAGTAATAATGAAGAGAAAATAATTTGGGTTTGTTTTTTCCTTTTAAGGAAGACAAATATGATATTTAATCTGAATCTAGGAAGAAGTATGGCACCACAAAGTCTCTGTCACTAAATATTTTAAGATGTTAAGAGGAATATTCAAAAACGTGCTGTAATTTCTCAGAGAGAATTTTTGTCTGGTTACCACAATAATGTTTTATACTGTTTTGTGTTTTTGAAAATGCAAAAAACATGCTCTCTAAGTAGACACAGCAAAATAAGGTTTTGTTTTATTCAAAATGATGTTAAGTCTTCTGAGGTAGTTTCCATTAACTTCTTTATCACTAAATAAAGCTCCTAATTTTCCAAAGTAATTTAATTTCTCAGTCATGAAAAAAATGAAACCAGGAAAACAAGAGTATTTCATCAAGCATTTCGACTCGCCATTCATCATCTAGGTGTGTTTTGAGGTCTGTTTACTGCAGCTTTGGATGCTCTTATACCATAAACGTTTGGGGTAAAAGTTGATTAGCTGTTCTACACTGCCTCGTGTGTTCATCTAGGATGAACATTGTTTGTTTGCATTAATTTGTAAATAGTAAATAAGGTGACATGGCTGAGAATTTTTGGAATATTCAAAGCTTAGGCAGAGCTCATTTTTTAATGCTGTTTATTTATTTTTTTATAAAGGAAACAAAAGGTTTGCATGTAATTGTCTGACATGACCCCTCACAGGGAATAAAGTGATGCTTTGTTTTGCCAAAATGCGATTCCAAAATTACAAGAAACACGAGTTGGACTATATCTGTCTGTGGCAGAGTGGCTGGAAAATTAAGTGAATACTGCACCTAGAAAGTGGATTCTTTCATATAAGTGGGACTGTGCACATGGACTTTTACATTGATACAATCAGCTAAAATTGATCAAAATTTTCTGCTATTTTGGCAGTGATTACCACTTCTCTTTTCAGGGTTTTTAAATTTTGCATGCTTTCCTTGTATCTTCAATTGAGTGACGGCAATTTGCAATAACAGCAATACATAAAGGTAACTGAATACATGACAGAACATTTTTGATCCATAAAGATACAAATATCCTTCTATTCATATTTAGACTGGCTTTCTCCAAGCTGTTTCCTTTCTTCTGGAAGCAGGAGAGAACTGTTCCTACAATCTGTAAATTAGTCACCTTGGATGAAAACTACTTGTGTTTTTCTTCCAGTAAGCGGGCACTGGATAGTTTACCCCAACTGGTCAGAAGCTGCTTGGCACTAGTAATCCAATTTTTAATTTGTTGCATTTGGTTCAGAGTTCTTAGGATATTTTTTTCCTAGCTTTTTATAATTTGTGATAAAAATGACCTCTCAGTAACAGAGACTTACAGTTAACTCTAGTTAACAGTTTTAGGCATCTCTATGTCATATATTATCTCACTGGTCTGTAGGTAGGTACTGTGCCATTTCCAGAGACAAAAGGATCAACACCATGAGCCCAAACCATCTGACCCTTCCACCTCTGCTAAAGGTTTTTATCTTCACCATGAAGGCAGTTGCCAGCATACACTGGATAGATTGTCAAGCAAAAGGAAGCAGACAACATTGTTTTCACAGCACATAAGTACCATGCTGGATGTGATTTCATGCATACATAACTGAGTGTTAGAAAAACCAGAACAGACACCCACTCATGGCAATAAAATTCTTTCTGTTGCTCCTTTGAGACCAATGATTTTTTTATGCTGTTGCACAGCTGGTTTATGTGTGCCATTTCCATCAGGCAGAGCCAGTCCTCCTGCTTACGCTGTGGAACTGTTTAATGGTTGGAAACTTGTCTGTAGAGCAGCTTCAGCAGACTTTTAGAGTTGGAAGGTCTCATGTTTGAAAGATAGCAATGGGAGATCTATTTTAAGTCAGGAAAAATGCTCCATAAAAAACAGTTTAAATTATTGTCACACTTGCTCTCACTTTTACAGCTCAGAATGAGAATTCTGATTCCAATGCCATTATTCGTCTCTCTGACACCTATTCCAAATCATTTACTGTTTTCACTACAGTTGCCACATAGAAAGACAAAGTGGATACACTGCACCAGTGCATCTAGCCTATACTGTTTTTTAAGGTTTTGCAAAAGTTTTTCCAAATACTATTGATTTAAAGAATGTTGGAAAATATAAACTATTTCTATGTTCACAATTTGAGTGTGGGAAGGTGTTCATTTTGAAATGGTGATGATGTGAGGGTTTTCTTATTTTTCCTTTATTTGTAGCAAGAAACCCTCCCTTTTGGGGACTGGAGACAGAATTTTGCTTGTGATGGCTGAGTAGCCAGCAAGACAGGAATTTAAGTCCTTTGGGTATGCTCAAGCCAAACACAATCCAGACAAATGGAGTACTTACCCCATGTGCTGGAACAGCAGCTTCAGCCTTGACCTAATGAAGCTATCGTTTCTAGCAGTGAGAAGCGATTTACTTGTCAGGCTGCTGAGACCAGAATTTTTTTGGAGTTGAGGACAGCTGTCTGTGCCAAATTCTAGGATATATGGAATGACTTGTATTTTATTTGCATTGTCGTATAAACTGCAAAGGAAAAGCTGCAACTAGCATTGCTCCTTCTGCAAACCAAAGTATTTGATTTAACACTCAGATAAATTCATGTATATAAAGTTTCAGTACTTTGCATTTGAAAAACTGGCAGCAGTTTCCATTCCAGTAATTTTACATCTGTGATTCTGAATTATACATGTGGGCAGTCAGTCAAAGGGATCACAGGTATATGAAGACTAACAGTAGAATGGCTATTAGCTTTATAGTCAGCAGACTGTCACTTTAGCTTTTATAGTTAGGTTGACAAATACCTTATGTAGTCAGCTTTATGATTCAGTACCAGTTATTAGACCTTGAAGTATTTTAGCATGAGTTGTATAGTGCTTTTAATATCTACATGGGCATAAGCATAACAGACCACCTTGTAGAAGATGACTTTTCCATTCAATAATGCAGAAAAAACAACTAATGTGTTATGTGGTAACTGGCCGGCATGCATTGTAGAAGAGCATGCTTGTAAACATGTCACAGGTGGTTTTTGTTTTTCTGGGTTCTTGTTTTTTTGGGAGGCCAAGGGGGTGTAGGGATTTTTTGAGTGCTTTCTTTGAAGGTGCAGTTTGGGTTGTTTGGTTTTTCTTCCTGTTAACAGAGATCACTTTATCTGGTCCTGCTATTCCTTCTCACTTGTCTGCTTTGCTGGTGAAACTAAATCCTTTCAAATGAAGAAACAATTAATATTCTTGGGTTCTTAACTTACAAAATGATCATTCTATCACTTGTAATAGTGATCGGTGTCACAAAAAAAATGAAAACAAATGAATAGATTATATAGTGGTATTGAAATACTTAATATTGAATTGATCCTGATCTGATATAAAATGCTCACTGGGTATCTTAGTATTTCAGGTAATACACCCCAAATCCATGAAATACTTTACTGATGCATCCATACAAACAGACAGGATTTTTTAAAGTTGATTAAATGCAAAACTAACAAGTTTTGTTCATCTTTGATATTTTATATCTTCATAGCTTATTATTTTCTTAATCAACTAGTTTTAATAGAGCTCTTACAGAAAATGTTACTTTCAGTATCTCACCTTTTCATGTCTGTTAGCTGCAGATCTCCTTTCTGTATTCTACCACCACCACTATTCTTGTTCAAAGGCATTTTTGTGGATGACATTTGAGAGGCTTGTAAAAGAGTCTTTGAAGAAAGAGGCACTCGGGAAAATGTCTGCTCTTGCTGTATTATTTTGCATGTATATTCCCTCTAAGAGGACATTCTTTCTATCCTTAACTGTAATTACCCAATGATTTTTAATGCAATGTTTGTATTCTCACACAGCAAAGTAGAAACACGAATAGATTTTCTTTCAAATGTGGATCAGCATTTTGTCTGCTGCCTGGACTGTGTCTAGTGAGCACAGAAGAAATGCTACTGATAAAGTAATGTCTTCAATAAACTGTGCAGTTATAAAAAGTACAGGGTGATATGCTAGTGCTGTAGAATTTAGAAGAAATGATCTGTTAGTTTCAGTTCTTTCTTACTGCTTTCTTTTGCTGGAATGAACATCCAAACATTTGAAAAGAAAGAATCTAAATTTGGTGATTTCCTTTCAGACATAGAAAAATTTGGTGAACAGAACTTCAAAAATGTTTTAGTCATGTAAAACACTTTTTCCAAATGAGCCGTTTCATTTGAATTATATATCTTTTTTAAAATGACTATCTCTTGTAGACACAGAAAAGAAAAACATGTTTTATAGGTTGAATTATTTTTGCTTATATCTGACCATTTGGGAAGATATATTCTCTGAAACACTCTAATTTTATCCCATATGTTTTGTATACATAATACATGATGCATACCACTTCTGGGAGAGAACCTGAATAATTCACCTACAGTAATATGATCATGTTGCACTTCAGGTTATAAATGTTTTATATCCCTAATATAATGTCATATAACGTAAAAAAGCCCCTAACATTTTAAATCAGTGGAGATGAATGCTTAATAAATGTCTTAGATGTGTGAATTCTGTTTATATTTAGTTTACATAAATTACATTTTATACCTGCCTTTTAAATAATAGAAGTAAATGAAAAATGGTATGAGAAAATAGTAAAAACCACTTAGCTAATTTTTTCTTTAATTCTGGAATAAATAGTTTAGCATACTTTAGGATGGAGTGGTTGGCAACTTCACAGGTAAGGCAAAAAGTGTAACAGCAGTGCTTCTCCAAAGCCAGAAAAAATAAAAACAACTGACTTCCTAGTGGATAAAAAAACACAAGTGAGAAGTGAGGCATTCTTACTATTAGGAAATCACGTTGAATTTCCAGAATTCTTAAGTATGCTTTGTAACTATTGTGGCCAAAAGTTAGGTTGAATTATATGTGTGAGGAAACAGGAGCATCCATTACTATGTAACTAAAATGGAATGTGTGAGGAAACAGGAGTATCCATTGTTATTTCAGCAAAAGTCTTGTTCAGTAATAGGAATAAATCTTTTTTTTTCCACATCTGCTGATCTTTAAAGGGGAAATGCTGTCTTATTAATTCTGAATGTGTCTTTTTTAATAAACTAAAGGATGGAATTTTTCAGTGAGACCATGTGTCATAGGGATTATCTGATTAATTAGGTATGCATGGAATGTTTATTAAACAGTTCATTTACCATTATAAAATAATGCAGGTGAACCATACAGTAAATGAATGTCTTATGTCCCTCCTCACACCTCCAGTTTTATTTCTGGCAAGTAAGTTAGGGCTCATATGGCTGTAAGTTTGTAACATGTCTGAATTATTATGAATTTCCTTTAATCTTCTGATATAGTTTTAATTTTTTTATTTTTTTAAATCTTACTACTTACTTCTGTATACATTTTGTTTTTGCAGTTTCCTTATATTTTGTCAACAATTTTGGGCTGCTAGAGATTTAAAAAGGGTAGAAATTAAAAAGTGGGATTAAAAAGTAGGAGGTGATAAACAGCATACTGGATTTTTAGAAGCTTTGTTGCAAAATCTTCTTTGATTCACATTACTTGGGATCAGGATATTATATAGTGAGTCCACAATGAGGACCTTAAAATCAATATTGGAAAAGATTCAATATTGAATCTTATTCAAACTGTCTGTCCTATGTCCTTGAGTCTAGAGTCAGCACAAAGACAACTGAAGGTATACTATCTCAGTTTATATTGACTAGGAATTGAACCAGAATAGTGAAATAAATCAAAGGGGTAGCTAATTGCTTTTTGACATTCTAAAAAAACCCCTATAGATTTCTACCACAGCGTAATATATCATTATGCTTTAATTACATTTATTGTAAGGAAATGTTTATGTCCCATGGTGGTAGATATCAATATTAGAATTTTGAAGAAAGCTTCATTGTGTCAAAACTTAATTTCATCATCTGAGAATTATCTGGCAATGAAAAAATATTCAATGTTTCAGCCATGCAGTTCTGTAGTTACTCTGCAAGGCCACTTGTAGAACCAGGCTGTTTGACACTCACTGTGTATTTAAAGTAGTGAGTGACAGAAGGAAAACTGGTAGTCTGGTACCTTTTGATAAAGCTTCATAGTGTTTGTGAGCTATCAACAACACAGAATAATGACAAACTAGATGCTAACCCCTGATTTTTATTTCAGTAGAGTTTGAATTTCTAGAATTTGCAAGAAGCAGTATCAGTTACAGGAGATCTTTGCCTGAATTTTCCTCAGTGTATTTGAGTGTTTAATCCAGCTCGTGAATGCCTCGTAAATACACAAGGGGAAGATTATCTTTACCTTACAGAAGATAATGTTTCCCTTAGAATATTTTCATTTTTTTCTAAATTCTAGATCCATCTGCTCCACCAGCTCCATCTAATATCAGGATTGCCAATATCAGTGCAAACAATGATGGGAGTGTAAATGCAATGATCACTTGGGATCTTCCAGAAGAGCCTGATATCCCAGTGCACCACTACAAAGTCTTCTGGAGCTGGACATACAGCAAATATGTAATTCCAGCAAAAAAAAAGAGAAGGAAGATTACTGATGGGGTAAGAGAGAAATCAGTAATACGAAATATGGGTTTTTTTTGACACAAAATAGAGTGTAAAATGTGTGATAAGTTCCAATGATCTCAGTCACTGGTAAAGCAGTGGTCCTAATTTTTAATATCATGAAGCCCATAGACAATTTTGACCTCTCAGTCCTTTTCTTACACTGAACTCAGGGAGAGAAGTAAACTTCTGCCTTAGAATACAGGTAAATACGATTTTTCAGGAAAGATGAATGAAAAGTTAAATGCTTTTAATCCTCTAAATTTAGGCTTATTCAATTAGTGTTTCTTACAGTGTTTATTTTATTTAAAAAGCTTGACGTCATCTGTCACACTGTTCTTTCACTACGCAAGTAAAACTTGTGAGACAGTCATAGCCATTAAATAGCCAGTGTGGATTCCAGGGGAAAACATACCCAAAACTCTTTAAATAAACTGCTCTCCCAAAGATCTGGCAATACTTCTTTAGCAGGAAGTTCCTATGAGTTTCTTGAGTAATGTATTAAATATTTGCTTTACTGGAAAGCTTTTTGTTATGATATCTTTAAGCATATTGCATATTATTTTAAAGCAATTTATAGAAATAATTAGATAGAAAGCACAGAAATCAGTTAGACATAAATTGATTCTCAGTGCTTTTGGTAGTGAGAATTTGGTCCCATGTCTGTGTTAACATTGTGTTTCGGCTCTGGCTGCCCATTGCACTGTGATGAATGACAGTCAGAGAGTCACAATTCCCCCTCTGTCCCTCAGTCACCAAACCCTGACAGAAATACAGGCAGTGAAGGCTGTGTGATGAAATCATGCAAGTCAATTTGCACAGAAAGGAAGGCCTTTATTGTCCTTTAAAAAAATAGTTGTGGCAAGATAGAAGTAGGGTTGGACTGTGCTACATACAAAAGTTTGTGTTCCTCAAGAAGCCTGACATTGGGTAAAGGAAAGAGGCTTCAGCCTAAACATAACAGGGAGCTTTCTTTCTCCAAGCTGGTCCATATATCAGAAACCCCAGAGAATTTGAAAACTGAGCTGGGTCTTTAATACCTTTCCATCAGGGTACTTCTTACACACAAATAATATTAAAACAGGTCCATTAGAACATTGCAGTAATTGAGTAATATCTTCCACCTGGCATATGTAATAAAAGGATATTTTTATAATTAAATCTACCAAAATAAAATATAAGACTGAGAAGGCTGGACTCTTTGCAATATCATGTTCCTTGCTTTAATGCATGGGTTTTTGACTGGACAATGACAAACCTAATATGTTTTTTCCCCATTTTATACACTTCTGTGACATTGGAAACTGTATTTTTTTTATTCTGTTTTCCATTCTACACCGGAAAAGTGCTCTTTCCAATGAGAGGGTATTTTTGGTTGGTGCTTGTTTTTCAGATTTTTTTTTAAGAGTTGAAACAAATATAATGTATTGAAAAATGTATTAAATGTTGGACTTTAGCTATCTTTAGACTGGCAGTTCTAGAAAAAAATTTTCAGTTGCTTTACTAACACGGAAATTGGGGAATAAAATGCTTAAATTCCTTTGGCTAAAATGATTTTGGCATAAGAGAAACCTTGTTATATAGAAGAAAACCCCTTCGGTTTTGCCTAAACAATAGGTTTGAAATTGCCAAGAAACTGCCAAAATTATGCAAACATCAAGTAGGTATGTATTTTTAAAATTATGCAGAAAAAAAGAGTCCGTTTAAAGAAATCTTGTACATAAAGGAAATTTTGCTCTGAAATTTATATATGAGTTTTCTAACTTCAAAAAAGTAGTACGCCTAAGATAAGAAGCCTGCTTTTAATAAAGGCCCGTGTTTCAGCAATATTATAACTGCTTTGTGTATTTATTCTATTACAGGCCCAAAATTATGTGGTCCTGGAGGGGCTCCAGCCCAACAGCAACTACAATGTGGAGCTGCAGGCAGTAACACGTTGGGGTCAGATACGCCTAAAAAGTGCTAAGGTTTCTCTCCATTTTAGCACCACTCAGGACATCAGGAATAATAGTGAGTAATCATACTCAAACACCTGAATGCTTTCTCTCTCCTTTATCTGGAATTTAAATGCTTTATATAATGATTTCTTAAATTTTAAAAAATCATTTTCTTAAAGCGGGCTGTTCCATAGCAGAGTGATCATCTCCTGGTCAAGTTGAGTAACCTTGTCATGTTAAATTTCTTATTTAAAAATTGCTGACAGTTTTTGCCTAAATCTTTCATTTAGACTCTACTCACCTAAAATAAACAGCTGCAAAGGAAATAGAAGCCTTTGCATAAATCTAGTGTTAATATTTTTTAGATTCAATGCAGGTATAAATACTGACTGTGGTTCTAAATGGATGGAATAAAACCATTTTTGTGTGTCTTAACACAAAAGTATTAACTTGGAATGTTTTTCAAAATCCTGGCTGTTTTTAGTAGCTCATTAATTCAGATTCCATGTCTGACAACCATGCATTCTCAAAATATTGCACATATAGGACCCACATTCAAATTAAAATCTCAAGATGTTTAGATGTTAGGTTATATATTGTTAAGGTGTTTAGAACCTCACATGCTAAGTAATATAATTGCAAGCTGTATCTGAATCTGACAGAAAACCATGATTCTTAGCCTTGTTTAAATGCTATTTATACAATTACAGTACCATACTGAGTTACTGCCTAAATTGCTGATGGGTCTCTGATTAACTAATACAGCAGAGTTCTGAAAATAGAATGTTAAAGAATATGATTTTAATTATTCTGCCCTGACTCCATTTCATTTTCTATTCATTTACATTCCTTCTTTAAAGTACACTCACAGTTTAAACTTGTAGCCATTTTCATAAAAGAACTGTAATTACTTTCAACCTCACTAATCAACTGCTATTATTGCCATATTCTGTTTGGGTATACATAAAAAATTGTAATGTGGTTGTTAGCTATAACAGACTTCTTGTCTGTGGTTGCTTCACATATTAATGTACCAAGAAGGAAAAATGAGCTGAAGTATCCTTCTTTTCCCATATTAAAATAATCTTTACTACTGTTTTGGGTTATCTTGAGAGACAGCAGAATGTCAGGTTTTCATCTCTTCCATACACTGATCTTTGCTTCAAATCCATACCAGAATATTAGCTTGAATCTCCACAGTCTATATAGGCAAGTTTGAGTTAAATCCTCAATTTAAGCCCAATGTAAGTGAATATAAGAGTTCTCCCTTTTCCTTACTGGCCCTCCTAGATTTACCTGTGCTTTTTTTCATCCCTAGAAAAGTAGCCTAGATTGTAGGAGTGTGCATGATATCAAAATCTTCTTACAGTTACCACATTTAGTTCTCCTTTCTTTTCTATATGTACACAGGAGATGTAGTAAAGTAAAAAGAACTGTGGGAGCTGGGTGTTTAATTCCATACACTGAGCCATTGAGTGCCATTAGAAGCATATCGTTGTGCTTAAGAGAGATTTCAAATCTTGCTGATTCTTTTCCTAAGAACTTTTTTTGTGGAGTGTGCTACATTTTAATTCTCTTTCCCCCCCCCCTCAAAGTTCACTAGATAAACAAGCAAAAACTTTTTTCTGCACCCTCCCCCGACCCAATTTCCTTATCCTTTCTGACAAAGTTTGTGTGGAGTTCTGGCTCTTGGTGCTAAACTTTAAGGTATTTAGTTTTCAATCCAGTCATCTTGACTGTCACCACATGACATCCCAGCTTTAAGGAAGAACTCAACTCACAGCTGAGTTTACGTTAAAGCAAAGAATCCTGATGCTGGGGTTTTATCTGTCTGAGGTTGGTCTTTGTCCTGCAAAGTGGAAGAAAATTCTAGGTGCCATTATATATAACTAGCCAAAGAGAAAATGGGCAAGCTTTTTTGTTCTTGGTCTCATTTTATTATTAGTATAATTTTATAAATGTTTCCATCTTGGCATCAGGGATAATTAATCAATTGACCTTTGTTATGCTTGATTGGTCCTCCTGACATTAGGTCAGATGATCATAATCTTTAAATATGGTAGTAAATAAAGACTTTCCATATAACAAAAGCCTTCTGAATTGAAACGGAATTGAAACTCAGATATGAGCATGTCTTCTTTTTTACCATTCCACACTTACTGTGAGAAATCCTTTCCCTGGAAGGGACTGTATTAACTCTCTATGGCCTCTCTAATGTTCTGACTCTGGGTTTATGTTGGGAGAAGATCTTTGTTTCAGTTTTCCCTCTTCAAAACACTGGGTTTTTCAGAATCTGATGCAGGTCACATCTATCAAATGGAGTTCATTTATGCTATACACTCACATGTGACTTGCCCCCTCTCCTTGGTTTTGCTTCAGAAAAGAGACCATCAGTAGTTTTTGTGAAAATCTGCTATCTACTTATGTCTCATTAGTACAGACTTTCTAATGCCTTGTGCTTTATTTTGCTTTGCTGGGGTGACCTTTCTGTACTAAAACGTTCATTAAATGTTATATTGTATTTTAAACTAGAGTAAAACTATATTGAGAAAAATATCTTTTTAATCTCCTATACTTCAAGAATTTTGACTGTTCAAATTATGAACATCCATTTATATAATGAGCAGTATTTTCTTTTTAACTGGAAATCAGTGCCTGTGCCAACTAAAACACATACTTGTTTTAGAGTATTTCAGTAATGAGTTTATAGAAAAATCTGAACAACCCTTCTCTTAAAGCCACAAGGTAAGCGATTCAAGATTCTTTGAACATGAACCACTGATATCATTCACTTTATGTGATAGAGCATTCTACTGAGAGGTGTATTTAGGCCTTTTTGGACTTTGTTTTTTTAATGGCTAGATTATATTTTACATAGCAAAAGCAAGTCAGAACTACTCTGGGAGGAGATGCAAATTCATCTTCTATATCTCAGGTTAGTTAGGTACAGATCCAGTCCTGCTTGATGTACTTTTGAGAATACTAAGAAGCAGATGGAGAAATACGAAAAAGAAACAAAAAAATTGCCTGAAATATATCTAGGACTTGACACACTCATGGCTTGTCTTTATTTTGGGACTTCCATGGCCTTTGGGAAGTAACTCCAGAAGGAACATGCCAATTTTGTTGAAGTCTCACTGTCAGATACTCTGCTCTGTGTGGAATTAAGCTCTGGTTTTTAGGTGTCGGGTCCTATTGTCAGAATAGAGATAGCCCACACCCCTCTGAAGTAATTTAGCCCTACACACCTCTGTGAGCTTTGACCTCAGCCCTCTGGCATTACATTTCCCCACACTCAGAAATGCATTGCCTCACTATATTTGTGTGCTTCACTTCTGGGAAATGTAGCAAGATTCTTGCTTGATCTTTATATAGAAATATTCTAAATTGGTGTCCTGGTTTTTGTAGAAGTGGAGCAGACAGAGAATAGCAGAGCAGAGATTTATTAAAATCATTGAAATTGAGGAATAACTAATAGATTTTAGTTTGCATTTCTCTCTATAACTTTTTTTTCATTTCCATTTCCAGTAGTAACATTATGGTTATCTTAAGAAAGAATTTTGTTAAGTTTGATAGTTTAATATAAGCAAACAAACAAAACAAAAAGTCGTATCAGATTCAGCAAAGGCCATAAAGCGAGTTTCAATAGAAGCTGCATATAGGGCAAAATGTTCAAGTTTGTATGTTACTCGTGACAATTACTGAAACATGAGTCTTTCCCTCTTTCTCTCAAGTATGTAGTTAATAATTTGCCACTTCCTTATTATTGGATTCTTTAGTTTTAATTTAGGTGTAATATTAAATTAAATACCGCTTTTTTTTTTTGTTTATAAACTGGTCCTCCTAATTGGATCAGATACATTTACAAATGTGCACTGAAAAGTGCAGTTTGAATGAACATTTCTTTCTCTTCAACTGAAAATATCTGTAAGTACTGTCAACCCTGCTAAATGTAGATAAAATTTGACCAAACAAAATGCTTGATGAAGGCCATCCAATTGAAATTTCTTGTTGGAAGCAAGGCACACAATACCAAGGGAATTGGTGAAAGAAAATTCTGCTCTTGCAATGTTTTCCTAAGCATTCACCATTCACAGTTGGGAACAGGAAAGTGGGCAAGACAAATCTTTAATCTGACCACAGTGTTCTTATATAGCATACCAGAGGTCTGTATTTACTTTGATGTAGTAACCACATGTGGCACTCTGTGGGTTACATTCAATGCTGTCCTTGGATTTTGTGCATATTCAAACACTGCATGAATATAAAGACTGTGAAGTATTACAGAGAACTACTGGTAGATACTGTGCCTATTTAAAAAATCATTGTGCTAACATTTTTTGTTCTTGGGGATATAAATACAGTCCATTCCCTTGTTTCTCTTCAGAAAATTTGCAGAGCATTTTCCTGTAAAAACATATTCATCTTTTTTGGTCACTTTGTCAATTCAACTGAATTTCAAACAAGTGATTTTTCAACCACTGTGGGAGTTAATTCTTTATTTCATTAAGTAAGAAACAGAAATAACATCATTTGGAATAAAGATACTATTATTTTCTGAATTTCAGCAAATTTAGCATAGTCATTATACAGCACTGTAGTTAAGTAAATAGTTTCCTTATTGTTCTGTGTGTTGCAGAAGAACGGACATCTGCTGGGAAACCACAGAAAGGACTGGTAGATCACTATCCAACCTTTCAAAGAAGGAAAACCACTCGTTTTCTTAAAATTGGAACTCCCTTCTATCAGGACAATCAACTTCAGGTCAAAGTCTACTGGAAGAAGACAGGTTTGTCGAATTTTGCTTTACTACTTCCTCTGAGAAGGACTCTTAGCAGCCATCTCAGAGCTCAGAACATTAACACGATATTATAAGTAATTAATAGTGGTATCTTACACCCATCCTTTCTTCCCTTCATCTTCCCATTAGAGGGAAACATTGCCTCTCCTCTCTGTTGTATGTCTGTGTACATGTCTTACAGAAGGAAATGACATGAATCAGCTATCCAAAAATTATAGTCAGTCATGTTGGGATAGTGTATGAATCTTCACAGAGCTGAGACAATTTTTATTTTGGTAGGAATTACCTCTGTAAAGTTTTAAATAGCAGAATTTGACGTTACCCACAAAAGTTTTCTGGTTTTCAGAAAAATCTTAACAACAATTTGATGGTTTAGTCCTCCAGTCAGAAGGAAAATGACATAAATTTTAAGTGTCTATTCATATTCAGAAATCACTAAAGTGATTTTCCGTTCTTGTCCACTAAAAGCATATAGGTTGCTCCAGTTTAGCCATTACAGATTCATATGCTGTTATTTCAAAATATGCTCACACTGTTCATTTTTTAACTTGGAGCAATATACGTGTGTATCAATACCACTAAATTAAATCCATTCAATTTTTGTGCTCGAAATAAAGGGCTACAAAGTGGAAAGTCATGTTTTCTTCTTGAATTTTTCAAAGAATTTCAGAAATATTTAAGTGCTTTTGGGTTTAGATGCATGTGGCAACACCTTGAATGAGGACAAGCTATATAAATGTTCAATTATGCTATATAACATAGGAATATGTCACACTGGATATTGTGGATTGTGAGAGGTATCCTTTGCTTCTTATCCTTTGCCTGCCCTTTTGAATGGCTACCTTCCAGGCTCTGCTATGCCATTTACTTTCAAATCCATCCTTATTCCTCCCTAAAACCTGCAAGCTTTGGTTCAGCTGAGTACATGCACTTTTTGAATATTTGTCCCTGTCTTGGCTATGCTAGTTTTTTTTACCTTGCTTTCCACATTACGTTTCATTTTTGGGTTGCTTCATGGAAAGCTGGAACAATTTAAAGTTTAAATGAAAGTTGAGGCAATTTCAGTTGGGAATATTTAGTTGACCAGAAAATGTGGTTTTTGTTATCCAAAGTGAGATTTATATATTCTGAGGAATGATCACCCTAAACTTCAGCCTTGCAAGTGAGATGTCAACTCATGGTCCAAGCTCCTTACATTGTTAGAAAAGAAAAGCAAAGCAGGTGACTTCTGAAGCAATTCATCCCCCAGAGCAGTAGAACTGTTCTCTGGAGATGCCTCACTTCTTTACTGAGAACAGAGGGGAACCTAGACAGCTCATTTGTAGAAAACTTAGAGATGCCTAATGTCTCTCTGTGAGCTGAGGTTATGTTCTTGGCAGTCAGTGTTGAAAAAAATGAGGGACAGGATTCAAAGATGAGGAGACAATGATGTCTCCCACAGGCGTCAGACAGGGTTGTGCAACTCACAGTCTGCAGGCAAGATTCAGCCCAGTGGAACCATCAATCCTGCTGCAGCTGTTTTCCTGCCAGCCTGCTGCCAGAAGAAAGATCATGTCCTGTGACCAAAATGCCAGCACCCCTACTGACATTCACCTTGTGAATAGTTTGCCAAAGCTAGTTATACTTAATGGAGGGAAAATCCTGAGCAGAACAGCAATATTCTTGTTCCAACACAGATATCTTGTACTAGGTGTCCACTATTTATAATGGTATTATAACGTAACTATTGAACTTAGAGGCATTGCACCATAGAAATCTCAATGTTTCCATCTAAATCTGGAGCTGCAACTCACCATCTGCAACATACCTTGAGGTAATATTTTTATTAAAGGCTATAAATGTCTATAAAAAGAAATAAGGTAGTCAGCATCCTTATAGTGACTCATAGTTTGGAAATAAGAGGATTTCAAAGTGGTATAATTTCTGTAATTGGAGAATGTCAAGGACAGCTATGTCACAGACCTGTCAAAAGTGACATGAATTTACATGCTGTCACCTTGACTTGCTGACTGTACAGCTGAGTCATCTTGTGTGGAGCTGTGTGCACCCAGGTACAGAAGGGGACACCCAGAATCCCATTTTGGCCCTGGGCTGGGGACATGTTCTGTGAGGTGCACTGGAGTGTTTAGGTAGATGCCCCAGCCATGCAGTGGAAGGTGCCTTCCTTTTTCTTGCAAAACAAGCAATGATAGCAAAGGTGTGTGAAGAGGGGCAGAATATGGCAGTTCATCACACTTACCTTCTTTTTTTTCTTTTTTAAAAAGAAAATATCAGTATTCTGAGTGACAGCACATGGAGTAATTCAGCAGGAACCATTGCCTTGTGTGGAGCTAAAAAATAGCCAATTACCTCCTCCTGAGAAGCCAACAGCTTCTATAAGCTCTTGCTGCAAGAGTTTGGAGATTATATAGTGCATGGATGAGGTACTGTAAATTTGCTAGTGACAATTTACTGCAGAGCAGGTCTGTGTGACTGTGCAAGGAGCACAGCAGGAAAATCACATTGTCTTCCTGAAAAACAGCAGTTACTGAGACAGCTGTACTGGGAACTGTACCCACACATCTTTCACCTTTATGAACTGCACCAGATGGTGTTCAGGGAGTTGTAGGAGGTAGTGGAGTGCAGCAGCTGTAATAGGAAATACTGAGAGAGACCTTACCTGAGCCTGCTCAGTGGCATAGCATCCATTTTTATTGCAGGTAGGCAATGAGAGTTCAAATAGTTCCTGACAAAAAATTGACCTGTTTGTCTCTTACATGGTGGGTGAACACAGGAGTCCCTGTTGATTGCACTAATGTTCTTATTTTAGTGTAGTTTTCTATTAAAAATCAACACTTTTTTTGGTGGAGAAACACAGATTCTGTAGTCCTAAATTAGAATGTATAACTTTAAAACAGAAAAATTAAAAGGCCAGCATGAAAGCACATGAGATAAGTAGGTTGATAAGTGTAAGAGTTACCATGATAAAAAAATGTATCAAGAGGTAAATGTCTCAAGCTTAACCATGTTGGAGATTTGTAAATTGATCAAATTTCAGTTGGTTGTAGTAGTCTTTGCTTTGTCTGGTATGGTTTTCAAGTATTTTTGGACTTTCTGTGTTAGACTTCATGAAATGAACAAGCGATGGTTGCAGAGATGATGAAATAAAAACATACTGAGATTTTGGATGGGCTTTATTTTAGATGAAGATTTAAACCAATATGTTACCACAGAATCACAGAATAGCTGGGTTTGGAAGGGACCTCTGGAGATGATCTAGTCCAACCTCTTTGCTAAAGCAGTTTCACTTGGAGTAGATTGCCCAGAATCATGGCCAGGCAGGTTTCAAATATCTCCAGAGAAAGAGATTCTACAACTCTGGGCATTCTGTTACAGTGTTCTGTCACCCTCAAAGTAAAAGATATTTTCCTCATTTAGATGAATGTTTCTCTGTTTCAGTTTCTGCACGCTGTCCCTTGTCCTGTCGCTGGGCACAGCTGAAGACTGTGGCTCCATCTTCTTGTTACCCATCCTTAAGACATTTGTAAGCATTGGTGATGCTCTCAGTCTCTCTTCTCAAGGCTGAACAGGCCCAGCTACCTCAGCCTTTCCTAATAAGAGAGAGGCTCCTGTCCCTCAGTCATCCTTCCTGCCCTTCACTGGACCAGCTCCAGGAGCTCTGCATCCCTCCTGTGCTGAGGAGCCCAGAACTGGACACAGCACTCCAGATGTGCCTCACCAGGGCTGAGCAGAGGGGCAGGATCACCTCCCTGCTGAAAATGCTCTTCCTAATGCCCCCAGGATCCCACTGGCCTTCTTGGTCCCCAGGACACCCTGCTGGCTCATGGACAGCTTGCTGTCACCAGCACCCCCAGGTCCTTCTCCACAGAGCTGCTTTACAGCTCAGCCCCCAGCCTGTCCGGGTGCAGAGGGTTGTTGTACTTGTTCCTCCTCAGGTGCAGGATCCTGCCTTTGTCTTTGCTGAAATTTACAGAACGTTGTTCAGCTCTACAGTGGCCCTTGTTATGTTGACATAGTTTCTTTCAGCTGTAATGAAAACTTTAATAGCTGCTGTAGCAGCAGTCTTTAGTAAGAACAGAGTTATTACTTTTTTATATTAATAACTGCTCAGAATTTTTCATTGTATTTGTAATTCAGTGGTCGTACCATTCTATGCAGACCAGAGATTTTTTAAAAATTTCCTCCTAAACTAAAATGATTCTCTGGAAGAGTTTTTTACTGTGTCCCAACACTGTAGCCTCACAGCATACCAAAGATTAGAGAAACAGAAGGAAAGACCTGTGTGGATTGCTTATATCATTTAAAGAAACACAAACATGCTCCTAAGGTTGTTTTAGATAATTTCTTTATTTTCATTGGTCCCATTTTAGCTGAGAAACGATTTTGGTTTTGAATTTGAATTGTTTCACTCAGTCTAAAGAGCTAAATATAGTGCAGAATCATAGAAGAATTTAAATGGGTAGGAAGGGACTTCTGCAGGTCAGCTGATCCAACCATCTGCTCAAAGCTGAACTAACTGTGAAGCTAAATCAAGTTATTCGGTCGTATTTGTAAGGCCCTGTAACAGATACTGTCACTGTTTTTTCAATGGCAGGGAATTTATCCTCCATCAATACCAGCCTGAAGAGGCCATCTAAGTTTATTGCAATGTGCCTTAGGGTTTACAGAAGTTATGCTGATGTCTCTTGACTATTCGAAGGTAGTTCTTCCATGACTGAAGATGTATTCCTCAGTGAACTTTGCAGATGAGCCTCTAGGAAGGCAGTGAAAAGAGCACAGTGGTGACATCAGGGCCAAAGCTCTCAAGCTTTATGTCATCCTTCTGAATAGAATTCATCAGACCTCTGTCCTGTGCAAAAACTGCACCAGAGGGGGTGTTGCAAACTCTTACCAAACTGACTTTGTTATACAGCAAAGGAGTGACTGCATATCAGTACTCAGAACCTGCACAGGGTGTTTGAATAAAAGTCTGAGTGTGGGGATAGATT